CTCTCTCTCTCTCTCTCTCTGTCTCTCTCTCTCTCTCTCTCCATCGCAGGCGACCCTTTTACCAGCCACCACTGTCGCACACGAACACCCACCTCCTCACCGGCGACGGTACAACCCATCTTCTCAAGAGCAGCATTTTTTCTCTCTATTTCTCACTCGCAGCAACCATTAGAGCACACCCTGGTATTTCCCCTTCTTCTTCCCTTTCCTTCCTCTCTCTCTCAACCATTGGAGCACACCCTGTTAAATCCAATTCATTCTTCTATTGTCCTACATAATGATTCTTAATCGTACTCCCATTCAATTCTAATTTTCTTTTAATCAATTAGTTTGTGTGTGATGATGTTACTATTGTTGTTGTTGGTAGTTTATTTGTTGCTGTTGTTTGGTCTATGCTTTTTATTGTTGTTGTTTTCCACCCTCTTGCTCACCATGTGTTTGACAAAATGTTAAAACGAAATTAGAACAGGCTCAAATTTTAGTGATGAAAATTAATGAATGTTGATAAGTGTGTGGATTTTAAATGAAGGGATTTGATATTCAGCTTTATAGATTTGTAAGGAGATTGATTAGTAGACATAGATTGATAATTCTAAAGTGAAGGATGCATAGAGATAGGAAAAATGCATTTTGCTAAAACAACAGAAGTAAATGGACCTAGTGTCATTTTGGTCTAAATTTTATAACTGAAGCAAATAAATTTTGTCTAAATTTATACAAAATATGGTTAGAATTTGAATGAAAACAACATTAGGGACGGTTCAAATACAAATGGAATAAGTTGGGGATTGAATTGATGTAATTAAAAGATTGGGAACAAAATAAATAGAGCTCATACTTTAGAAATAATTTAATTATTAATATGTTATGAAAAGAATTTTTCTTATATTAATTATGGTAATGCATGTACCAAAATGTTGGTAAAACTAATCCCTCTCTGAAAACATTTGATTCACATACAACCCAAAAAATATATATTACTGAAAATTTTCCACTAATAATTGAGTTCATTAACACATTTTATATGGCTGTATATAAAAGTGGAATGCGAGTTCTGCAAGGACTCACAGGAGAACTACTGTGACCAGATTCAGTTTACATACAATGGCATTTTCTGGGATGGTAGCATCACCTATGGTGGCTACTCCAAAATGCTTGTTGCAGATCATAGGTAAATGGCCTATACCCTACCCTGTTTTTCCCCACCCAATACGAAAAAATATATGAAAAAATTGCCAACAATTTTTTATCCCCCAAATCTCTCTGTCTAAACTCACACAACTTTTGAATCACGTGAAAATCTCGAGATGCAAAAAATTTGAGGCATGATTCAACTGGCTATGAATGTTTTGGACAGAGAATAGAACGATTTGAGGACAAAGAATCTCTCAAATACTTTGGATAATGTTTTATGATTTAAGATAAATATGTTGAAAGGGTCAATAATATTATTTTATGATTAATGCTTGAGACTTCCAAAATTGGTGACTCCAGGACTCCCAATTGATGTGGACAAGGCATGTATATATGTATGTATTTTTTTATTTTCCCATCTTAGAACCAAGTTGCTGTAGCCTATACGCTATACATTCAAGGAATCAACCATCCCAACTCTCTCTCTCTCTCTCTCTCATGGCTCAAACAACTCCAAACCACACACAAACTGTTTCTGGCTGGGCAGCCCATGATTCCTCTGGCAAGATCACCCCTTACACCTTCAAAAGAAGGTATGCCCAATTAATTTCAACTATCATTAAGTTTTAGTATATATTATAGATACATGTTAATGTTTCATGTGTTATGTATAAGCAGAGAAAATGGCATCAACGATGTGACCATCGATATCTTGTACTGTGGTATATGCCATACTGATCTTCACCACGTTCGCAACGATTGGGGCATCACCATGTACCCTGTTGTCCCCGGGTAAGTAAATAACCGCAAAAAAGCCTAATTGCACAGAGAAATTTCACGGAATGGGTCACAAGTAAATTCTATTAATATAACAAATGTTTTGTGTGTGTGTGTGTGTGTGTTTGGTAGGCATGAAATAACAGGGTTGATAAGCAAGGTGGGAAGCAATGTGAGCAAGTTCAAGATAGGGGACAGGGTGGGCGTGGGATGCTTGGCGGCGTCGTGTTTGGAATGCGAGTTCTGCAAGGACTCGCAGGAGAACTACTGTGACCAGATTCAGTTTACATACAATGGCATTTTCTGGGATGGTAGCATCACCTATGGTGGCTACTCCAAAATGCTCGTTGCAGATCAGAGGTAAATGGCCTATACCCTACCCTGTTTTTCCCAACCCAATTCGAAAAAATATATGAAAAAATTGCCAACAATTTTTTATCCCCCAAATCTCTCTGTCTAAACTCACACAACTTTTGAATCATGTGAAAATCTCGAGATGCAAAAAATTTGAGGCATGATTCAACTAGCTATGAATGTTTTGGTAAGAGAATAGAAAGATTTGAGAACAAAGAATCTCACAAATACTTTGGATAATTTTTTATGATTTAAGATAAATATGTTAAAAGGGTCAATAATATTATTTTATGATCCCTATGACTCTCCATTGATGTGGACAAGGCATATATATATATATATACATATATATATGTATGTATGTATTTTTTTATTTTATTTTATTTTATTTGTTTTGTCTCCCTCTCTCTCAGAAGATCGGGGTTAGGTTTTGTAGGGTCCATATCAAAACTCTTATTTTATTCTCCAAATATCCAACACCTCTTTTTTAAAAGAATTACAATTATTACATTTATGTAAAAAAAAAATTGGTACATAATTCAACGATTATGAGTGCTTCCAACAAAGACATCTATCCACAAATTTACGTGGTAGTATAGCTACAGAATCAAACAAAATAAAAATATCTGTGATATTTGTTGTTGTGGGTCTCAGACATTCGGCACATTAAATATTTCAGCAATTTTCTATGATTTGATGTGTATAGCAGAGTAAAACATTGAATTCTCTTATTTGACTTCTCTTTAAGATCTCTTGGTGTGATTCAAATGAAATGTGGTTGGTTGTGACTGTAATTGGATTGGGTGGACAGATATGTGGTGCATGTGCCAGAAAACCTACCAATGGATGCAGCAGCACCATTGTTGTGTGCTGGTGTAACTGTGTTCTGCCCATTGAAGGACAACAACATGCTTGAGCTTGACTCCCCTCCCAAAAAGCTCGGAGTGATCGGACTCGGAGGTCTCGGCCATGTCGCTGTCAAATTCGGCAAGGCCTTTGGTCACCATGTCACTGTCATCAGCACCTCCCCATCTAAAGAAGACGAGGCTAAACACCGGTTGGGTGCAGACGATTTCATTGTCAGCACTGATCTTGCTCAAATGCAGGTTTGCTATTCTTTTAACATGAATGAATGATTTATTTTCAAAATTATATTTGAAGTTTACTTTGATAAAACAAATGTAATTTAATCATATGACTTCCAAAGTTTGATTAACTTCACTTTTTTACATAAACAATCTAGATGATATGCCTTATAAAATGAACCGCATAGATCATAGATGTGAACATTGGATGGGCTCTGAAAATAGGCACACCACAACAGTTGTTATTACGTCGAGGCACAACAAAGATCCAATAACGTGCGTATTGATATACGATGAATCTGATTTTTTACTAACAATATATTTAGTTAGGAGATTTAAAAGGGATTTGAAAACTAAAAAAGAAAAGATGTGTAAAACTATTAGGGGATTTGAGAAATAATTTAAAAAGAGAAAGAGAAAAGATATGTAAAACTAAATAAAATATAAGTATATTTTATTTAAATTTCACTTATATTTTTTATTTTTCTTTCCAATTTTTTTTTTTTAAATTTACCAACCAAATACAGCATAAAGGATACAATCCTCCCAATCAACCCCTTATCTATAAGGAAATTATATTTTGAAATTCTCATCACAAGAATTCCACTTACCATCTATGACCTATCTGGCAGCATTTCTAACGGAAAAAATTAGTATGGCTAAAAAAAATAAGTAGTGATTCATCTCTTAAAATTAGAGTTCTAATTGAGTCCTATTAATGTAAAAAATAAAAAATATATATATATATATATACAAGGCCAAAACGTCAAATTAAATGGAATCCCCACACACAAGACCATTAAAGCTCATTTTCTAGAATTTTCAAACATTTTCTTAAAAAAAAAAAAAAAAAAAAGGGAAAAATTGGAGCATAGTTTGTCACAACCACGTGATAATCTCAGGGGTAATTGGAGCATAGTTTGTCACAACCACGTGATAATCTCAGGGGTAGATTGTGCATTTCAAGGTTCAGTACCTGTCCTCAATGTTTTCTTTTTTTTCTTTCTTTTTTTTTTCTTTTTGGGTATTTGTACTTTTATGTTGTAACCATGCGAAAACGACAAATTTTTAAAAAACAAATGATATAATTTTGTATTAGAGTAATGTTTCGTAGCTTGAAACATTTTGTCCCGAATGGCTCGAGGGAGAAGACGCAGAGAGAAGTAGCGGGAGAGAAAGAGAGAAGCAGAGGGAGAGGGAGAGGGAGAGAAAGAGAGAAGCAGAGGGAAAGAAAGAGAGAGAGAAGACGATCGTCACCCCGTCCAGCCGCCAATCCGCCGATCGTCGCCCAGCCCAGCCCCGCCGCAGCCTCCGACCGCCGTCGCCCCGCCTCCGCCTCCTCCTCCCCCGAATATTATGCCCCCTCCAGTCCCCCCTCCTCCTCCTCCTCCTCATCCTCCTCCTCCTCCCTCCTTCCTCCTCTTCCTCCTCCTCCTCCTCCTTTCTTCCTTCTTCTTCCTGGTCTTCATTCTTCTTCTGCAAAAAAAAAAAAAATCAAGCCATTCGGGCTCCCTGTTTTCGAGCTACGTAGCACGATCGTTTGTATTATTTTACATTAAAATACTCGCTATTATAATTTATAATTTCAATTATATTATCATGAATGAGTTTTATTTAGGAGAACTTTTTAAAAATCTCTTTGTACTTATTTATATTTCATTAAGTTCATATTATTTTTTTATATTCTAATAAGTTCTATAAATAATATAATTATTAAAATATTCTTAATAACATTCATATTTACAATGTGAATGTTTAGTGATGTGAATGTTAACATGCAATGTGAATATTTATATTGTAAAATATGAATGTTCACATTATCAAATTGTTAATTGTTCAAAAAATATTTATAAAAATAAAAATATTTATAAAATATCTTAACTATAAAAATTATGATTTAATAGATTAAATATTTAAATAATAAAACTTATTAAAATATCAAAATATCTTATGAATTAATTGAGATATAAATATTTTGAAAAAATATTTTCTAATTAATCTCTCTATTTTGTTTGTAATCACGTGTTTATGCTCTTGGATATAATGAAAGGACAATTGCCTCTCCCGCACGTGGAGAGAATAATCGGAACTAGGGATGTAATCGATTCGGTACTGTCAGTATTCAGGTAAAAAATTACACCGAATCGATAAAATTAGTTTTGTTATTTTGAACACCAATATAGATCGTTTTTCCCATCAAACCGCACCGAACCGAACCAATTGAAACGGTTCGGTTTGGTATTGTTTAATCGGTTTAGGATTTTTCAAACTTAATTCACTTTTAAATATAATCATTAATTTACATAAAAATATTAAATTAGTTATCTGTCTACCATTTCAAACATATCTAATTCGTCAATTTAATACATACTTTTTAATTCCTAAATTAACAAAAATAAAAACAAAATAAAATTCAAAAATATTGAGATTTTAAGAATAATGAGTTAGAATTAAGATATATATAATAAGAGTTTACAAACTTAGGTTATAAAGATGATAAGGTTAATAATTTATTATACTTATTAATATCATTATATTATTAGATTATATATATATATATTATAAATATAATATATGTTGAAGCGGTCGGTTTCGGTTTAGATTGGTGCACAAGGTGCTTAAACCGATATTGAACCGAAAATCGAAAAAAATCAAATTTAAAAATTGCACAGACCAATTCTTATTAAAAAACAGACCAAATATAACCGATTTGATCTGATTCAATCGGTTTGGCCGATTTTTTCAGTTTTTCTTACGCCCCTAATCAGAGCTATTACATTGTGTCAACTGGACACTTTTTTGCAAATTGACAATTTAAATTTTGTCTATCTACTGTTAGTGTGAGTATTCACTATTTCTAGAGTATGGACAAGTGGTATTTCATAAGATTTTAATTGGTAAAGAGGAATAGGGATCCATGATTTATGTTAGGGATAATGAAGTAATATGAGACTAAATAATTAATGATTGACTTAAAATATAATGACGCGGTGTTCCAAAATTATTGAGTAATTTCTTCTATTATTAACCCATTAGAGCATCTCCAACCCACTAGGCATATCATGCTTGTTAGTCAAAATGCCTAATATAATTCATTTTTTTCAACTCCAATGCACTAGGCATATGATTAGGCATTTTAGCTCAACTCACATTCACTAGCTACATGTAGCTAGCCTTCAAGACTAGACAAAATATATTTAATCATTAGGATCATTTCCCTCCATCTTTGTTGCTGATGTGGCATTTTATAAAATTAATAGTATTTAGATGAATAGCTAAAATAAAGAGCATGGTTGGAGTAGAAACATGAAATAGTTGATAGGCAAAATAAAATATATACTTTATAGTAATATTTAGATAGGTAAAATGCCTATTACCGTTGGAGATGCTTGAGCTGAAAATTTTATTTGGATCTTACATTGAATTTTAAGTAGGCCCATTACATATTGAGGTAAATTTTTTATTTAGATTGTTTGAAATGTTCTAAATAAGTGTACTTTTTGACTTTTTATAAAATATGAGTTGAGTTTAAAGTGATGTGATAGAGAGGTGATATGACTTAAATAAGATAATATGACTTAAATAAGATAGTGACTTTTTAACTTTTTTAAGAGACGTCAAACCTATCCTAATATTTGGCTGGTAAGTAGGTGAGCAATGTCTAGTTAGGATTCGAAATAGAAACAAAGTATGCCCTAATGATGGACAGTTTCTTGTAAATTTGTACAAATTTGGGCTGGGCCTCTTTTTATGTGTCCAGTCAACCCATTCCAAAAATAATTATGATAGTCTTAATTTGAATTTTATTTTAATTTTTGGGGGTCACAGGCAAAGAAGAGGTCACTAGATCTGATTTTGGACACAGTAGCAGCAAAGCACTCACTTGGGTCTTACTTAGAACTGCTTAAAGTGAATGGAACATTGGTGATTGTGGGTGCACCAGACAAGCCCATTGACCTTCCTTCTTTCCCTTTGATTTTTGGTAAGAATCATCATCGACATCTACTCCTTTTCCAACTTATGATTGAATAGAAAAATGTTATTTATCTCTGTATTTATTTGAACATATTGTTTCATTTGCCAGGGAAGCGAGTAGTGAAGGGTAGCATGACAGGGAGTATGAAAGAGACTCAAGAGATGATGGATGTGTGCGGGAAGTACAACATTAAATGTGACATTGAAAAGACTACGCCAAACAAGATCAATGAAGCTCTTGATCGGCTTTCAAAGAATGATGTCAAGTACCGTTTCGTCATTGACATTGCTAGTGCTGACAAATTATCAAATCTTTAAACTAGAGCTTTTCATAGCTATAAGGTGTTTTGGACTTAAAACTGGTTAACACTTTTAATAATTCTTGTGTGGTTTTACTTCTTTGAACAAATGTATTTGACTCATAAATTTTATCAACAATAATTTAACTCAAATTAAAAATTGAATAATCAAATTGATTGATAAATTATAAATAAAATCAAATTGACTGAAAAAGATTGATCTTTAAGTCATGTTTGTTTGGCCCTTTGGGAAGGGGGATTGGACTAATAGTCCGTGAAAGCCACTTAAAGAGTATTTGGTTGGTGATATGAGTGAGGGGATTAACTATCCCCTTCAATTAGTAATCCCTCAATGTGGTAGGATTAACAAAGTCATGAGAAGGTTGGGATTAAAAATTGAGTGAGGGGATTATTGAATTTTTAAATAATTTTTAAGTGAAAAATATATTTTTTTGAACAAAAAAATTAATTATAATATTAAAAAAAATACTAAAAATTAAAAAATATTAATTTTATATATTAATACTATCTATAGTATTACTAATCCGGTGGCATACAAACAAACACTGTTTCTCATCATCCAAACAAACATGACCTATGGGACTTTCTAACTCTAAATACAAAGGGATGGGTATATGCAGCGTGAGCATTAACTGTATTTTGAAGTGAAAGCAAAGATGTCTTATACTTCTATTTGCCTAATTTCAGACGTCAAGCAAAGATATATTCATATTAGTGCCTAATTTAGGTCAGACAAATTTTTTGATTACATGAATCAATAACATAATTACATATAGTAATATTTAAAAAATTTAAAATCTTACTCATAATTTATATACATTCTGCATCTATTTAGCAAAACTATTTTGGTAATTAATTACTAAAATATGGCAGAAGAGGAAAAGATTTGTCACGTTATGCATAATAACTTAGATTTTGAAATATAAATGAGCCCTGTTGACAAAGCATTAAAGGATGGTTTAGCAACTACTATTTTAATTACAATTTTTCTATTATTTGTATATCATGATTTAAAAAAAATATTTGTAAAAATGATCAGTTCTTAGAATTTTCCAACTTAGAGGCTCTAAAAATTGGACCAAATTTAGAAATTGTTTTGTTAACAGATACCTTAAAAATGCTTGTTAATAAGCTTAAAATAATTACATTATTTATTTATTTTTTGAGAGTCGATCCCATAAAAAAATGTACAACTATTTTAAATTTTACTAATTAATGCTCTCATGACACTCGTTGGCAACTCATTTAGAAAAGTTTACTAAAAGTGTATAAAAAAAAAAAATTGTTTTCTAAATTTTTTTGATCTTTTTGAGTCTTTTTGATTTGGGTAAATAACAAATAAATTTGATTAAAATACTAATCACCTTCTATGGTTTTGAAAATTACATTATACCCCCTGAGATTTTTTTAATTTCATAACAAATCGTTCATTTTATTAATAAATCATCAAGTCAATTAACATCTTTTAATGATGTTAAAAATATATTTCAATTAATAATTTATGTAATTTTATTATTGTATAGGAGAGCAATTATAAATTTCATTTTTTTTTGTTAATTCTGTTAAACAAAAAATTATAATAAAGGGTATTTGTAATTTTTTAAACCACCAGAGACAATTATATTTTAAACAAATGTCAAAAGGTGTATTTATAATTTAGCCTTTTGATTAAATAAGACCTACAGGTTAAAAAAATAATAATAATATAAAAAAAAGTACACTAAATAAATAATTGACATCTTCAACTTTGGAAGGAGATTTGTATTTTTTTTTTTTTTTTTTTTAAGATAAAGGTGAAGATGTTGTTATTGATGAAGATGTTGTTGATATATATATATTTTTTTCTACTGGATCTTGGTGAAGATGTTGATGATGTTGATGAAGATGTTGAGGAAGATGTGGGCAGTTGATGATCTAAAGATGTTGATGATGTTGATGAAGATGTTGGCTACTGGATCTTCTTCTTCTTCCTCTCATTTTCTTCTTCTTCTTCCTTTCTACTTCTGCTTATGTTCTCTTTTTCATCTTTAAAAGAGAAAATTCCAAAACGAAAGAAAAAAGAAAAAAGAAAAAAAAATCCAAAACGACGTCGTTTTGGATTCGGGGCAAATTCGAGGCTCGACTCAGGACACCCTAGATTCAACCTTGTACCTTCCGAAACATGTGAAACTAAACATAGAAATAAATAAGAACAAGGATTTTAAGAAAAATTTCCAAATGCAACTAGCCTAAACTGTTAACAGGACTCACGTCTTTCTCTTCAGATATCTTTCTCTCTCTAACACACACTCAGATCTCAGATCTGTTGATCACACACAAGTATTTAGCTTCGAAGGTTCTTCGAGCGTATGATATGTGTATGTATATCTTTGTCTCTCTCTAGATTTTTTTTTTTTTGAAGGTTCTTCGAATGTATGATGTGTCTATATGTGTATGTATTTCTCTGTCCCTCTGTCTCTATTTTTTTTTTTTTCCTTAATAAAAAATTTAATGTATTGTTAATTCTTAATTATATAATAATCTTAAAATATATCACCATAGATATTGTAACACCGAAATGATTTGCAAATTGAAATTGTATATTAAAAGCTCCACCAAAGATGTCACAAAGATATTTCTAAAATAATAAGGTTGATAGAAGTTTTAAGTTTTGATTTGAATTTAAAATGAATAAATACAAAATTTTACTATATCATTTTTTATTTTTTATATTATTGCTATTGTAACATATATGTTCAAAACTAGATGCTTAATTAATTGAACTAACAAAACACACATGATCAAAAATAAAATAAAAAAACTACATCACCTCGTCAAATTCGTGGTCCACAAGAGCTGAAGTTAAGGCTGCCTCAAAAGCAAAGCAAAGCAAAGCAAAGCAAAGCAAAGCAATTACACGTAGATAACGAAACGTGTGTTGGACGCTGTCGTGTGTGAATCTTTTCTCAAAAGCCATATATAACCAATTTCTCAGAGGCGGTCTTAACAGCCAACTAGCTTCTTGTTTTCTTTGTTTTTATTTTTGTTTTTGTTTTTGTTTTTGTTTTCCTCCAACAAATTAGAAGAAAACACCTATCCCTGTTTGATTTCTCTCACAATCTACTTTAATAAAACAACAAAGAAAGGAAGAGATATTCATTAACTATCCCTATCTTGGGTCACGACACGTACGACAAAGATGATGTGTTTCAAATTCAAATCACCCTTCACAAGAACAGGTTTGTTTCCGATTATAAAATTTAAGAAAGTAGATGATAATTTTTTGAGCACTCCTGTATCTTGATTTGTGATGTTTGGTGGTCATCTTCTGTTTTCAGGTCGACGTGAAAATAAACGTGCGGATAGCTTGGCTAACAAGTTAAGCGTTAATGAAGAGTATATGGAAGCCCATAGAACAAAGTCTTATGTAGATATGTTAACCAAAGTTCAGGGTCAGATGGGAAGAAAAAGCCTCGATAGACTAGCCTCCTCTTCATCTTCCAATCCTCTGCGTGTCCATCTCTCTGAGTACCTGCTCGAGCCGCGCCAAGAAACCCTAACCAACATGATCGAAGGCTCCAATCTTCATCACCTCCTCATTGATTACTTTGAAGCCAGCTTCGAAGCGTGCAATACCTGCGAACTACTCCTTCGCAGTGTCCACCAAGCACGTGCTAATTATCAGATAATCAAAAGGGTAATCAAACTTACCAAAAGGACGAGTGATTGCACTCAATCCCATGCTATATTTGAGGAGCTCACTTTGTTTGCAAGTCTTAAGAACCCGCTACTAATAATTAGCCCAACACGATATCGTGATATACACAATAGCTATGGCATTTTGCTTCACAAATTAACAAAGAAGTTAAGAAAGGTGAGGAGGAGAGCAAAGTTCATTAGATACTGTAAGAAGATTCTAGGGTTTGGTCTTGTGGTTTCTTACGGTGCACTCTTGTTTGCATTGCTTGTCCTCACGGTTCATAGCATGGTCGGCATTTTTGCAGCTCCTGGGCTGGTTGTTTGTTCTTTAGGATTAGTTAAGAAGAGCAAGTTGGTCACGAGAGGGCTCAAGATGAGCTTGCTTGAAAGACTTGGAGCACAACTTGAAGTTGCAGCAAAAGGGGTTTTTATACTGATCAATGACTTCGACACAATGAGCCGACTTGTGATGAGGTTACAAGATGAGATAGAACACAACAAAGCCATTGCTGATATGTGTGTTACGAATGGGAACAGTGAGGTTTTGATGGAGGTTGTTAGAGAGTTTCGGATCAATCAAACGTGCTTTTTGGAACAGTTAGAAGAACTTGAGGAGCATATATATTTGTGTTTCCTCACAATAAACAGATCACGAACGCTAGTCATGCATGAAATTATGGAGCTCCAACGGGCACATAGATGAAAAAACATGATTGTATCTTAAAATAAAGAGGGCGATCATTGATAATACTCTTGTAAGTAGTCATATTTGGTTGGCTTTCATAAACTTCTTATGCGAATTAAATTCTTTTTGACAAGCTACTTGTATACAATTACAAATCAATAGTAAAAGTATTAATAATAATATTTTTCTGCATTTACAGAAGTAAATTTCACTTTCAGAAGCCATTGCCTTGTCAGCACTTATGACATAAAAATGCAAATTTTAAGCTTCAAACATAATTAGATAATTCATAATGTGTAAAAACAGATTGTTACATGAAATTAATTTGAGATTACCAAAATTGAGGAAAACCTCCAATAAATTACTTTTATACATTGAAGTGCCAAAAAAAAATAACAATAAAAGCAAGCACAGTACCTGATCAAATAATTTGGAGATGGGTATTTTATTGCAATCTGTCAAAATGGGTCAAAGAGGCTCTCTCAGTTTCTTGTACTTGTCAACGCCCATCAACAAAGCCTTGGCTTTAAGCCAATCAGCTGGTTTTGGCATCATTATTGCAATATATCCTTCTCTATCTGCCTGCAGTGCACCCCCAAAAGGCAAATGAACAGGAAACAAACTCGTATGATGTATCCAATGCAGCTTTTAAATGAAGGAGCGAAAGAAATTCAAAAAAATGTTGCATGTTGCGTATAAAGTTAAAAAGTTGGATACATCATGGCCATACAAGACATCTATTTGATGCTAAACTAGCCTTACATTCTATTTCACTGGAACAGAATTGTGATACATTGGCTTCACAAATATAATGTTTCCTCAGGTCCAATGTTAATAAAGAAGTTCCTAAAGATCATGATTGGTGCAAACTGCTACGATGCTGAAAAGGTGTGCTGAAGAATCAGAAGACTATAACAGGAAAAGGTTTAGTTTTTTTTTTTTCAAGGGAAGGACTGACTCTAGCCTAGATCTAAGAAAAAGGGAGAGGGAATCACCCCCAATGCCTCACATTTCATAAAATTTTGGAACAATCAAAAAGCACCTTTTTGATAAACAATTGTGATGTATAGCTTTGGATGTGATGTATAGTATGACAATTGTTATAAACATATATATCAAGTAGCATAAATCAGAACGTAAATGTTGTTCCCTACCACTGAATTAAGCAGTTCCGGTTGCTTGATTAACCTATCATTCACTTCAAGTAGAGATCCTTTTACACAGCACCTGAGAGAAACCACATAAACCTTTTATCATTCAACATTAACATAAATAAGATACAATAAAAGACCTTGAATGGAAAAAAGGAAATGGGAAGCAACATTAAACCTGACAATGTAAGAAGCATCTTTAGTGCACACTTTACACAAAGCTGTGTTGGATTCAAAATGTTGTGCATTCTGCACCAGGACATGTCCTTACATTAATACGAAACAACTTTGCCAGGGACACAACAAAAAATTTAATGGACAGCTCAGACTATACCATCTAGTGCAAAGAAAAAATTTGGGTGAAATGGAGTTAACCTACAATTAAATTGGTTGTTTATATGATTAAGGTTAAGCTCTGGAACTGACCATCCTGAAAGCGGGGCAATAAAAGGAAAAGGAAAAATCAATCATACTTCTACTCTCCAATTTTTATACTTTTCCCATGCTAATTATTCTTCTAGTGCACTAACCAGATTATGTCTTTGGGCTTTTGAAATACATATTAGTCAACAGGGTAGCTAAAAGACATCTGAATACCTAAATATATAAGTAGTTCATTTCCTACAGGGCAGTGATGTACAAATTTGGCATGTATAAGGGAGCACAAAAATCACATTCAATACGTCCTGCGTTGACAATTCTACTCTGAGGTCAAATTATGCATACAAATTTCAAAAAATAAATCTTATTTGATTACAAAATATGATTTCCCAAATGAGATTCTTGTGTATACTTTGAAGAAAAATCAAAAAGTTTGACCAATTCTAATATAACCAGCAATACTTGGGAAAAAGGAAGAGAATATCAAACAATAAAAATGATTAATTAGAACATCAAACTTTCAATTTCATGTGTATATTTGTTACACTAAAAAGTTCCAGAATCAATGTAGATTAGGGAAAAGAAATGGAACGTCAACAAGCAAAATGGGTCAATATTATTGCATCAAGTTTCAATTTCCCAATACCAGTCAAATCATTATGTGAACTAACAGTACAAATTACACTAGTACAAGGCAACTTTCTCTATATATTTCAGTCTATAAGATTCTTCAAACATGCCAAAATCTTAACAAGAAAGCAAAAGTTTACCTTCTTTCGCTTCCCCGTCACTTTAATCCCACTCCGATCAGATTTTCCTACATTGAAATCAACAGCCGTAACTCCTCCTTCATCCTTATGGGCCAGATGTGTAGGTGCCAATCCGATCACGCACAAGCTTTTTTATTTATTTATTTTTTTATATCATAAAAGAAAGAAAATTTCTCAAGATTATCAAAGTTGTAGTGGAACGAAAACATGTGTATATATATCGGAGTCGTACCCATTGGCATGACGATAAACATACTGATCATGTCCTGGTTTGATGAAGTCTGATGACAGTCAAAGACGAATGAAAGATGAGTGCAATCTAACAAAGGTCAAATTTTTTATTTTGATTAATTGAAAAACAAAGAATTAGGGTTTTTAAACTGAATTTTTTTTTTTTTTTTTAGTTTTTATAATTTGGGGGGAATAATAGAAGAGAGGGAAAAGAAACCTGGGGCGAAGTAAGGGACGAAGTTGGAATCAACAGCGGAGGGAGGAGTGAGAGGAAGATCGAGCACATCTGGAACCAGAAGTCTGTTCAACTCTGCTTCTTCAGTTGCTTCGATTGACTGTTCTTGATCTTCTTGTTGTTGTTGGGTTGGGTTGGAAGAAGAAGAAGAAGAAACAGAGTGGACGATCTGATTGAAGTTTTCCACTGTGGTTTGAGGATTGTTGTTAGTATCATCTTCGACGTTTCGCTCTTCCATTGATTTTGAAATCCAACGGCCAACAACACCAAACTCGCCTCGCACTCCCTCGCAGTCTGGTGTCTGGACTCGAGTCTCTCTCTGTGGATGGCGCCGTTTGGTTTGGCGTGATTGTTAAATAGATTATGGCTCCGTTTGGCAACGGCTTTGCGGCTATTTAGCCACGAAGGTAAAATAGATTATTTTAGTCAAATAAAGTATTACATTTTTTTTTATAAAAAAAATTAAAAAGTCAAAAAGTCTTTTATAAATCAAGTTTTTTAGCCTAAGTTAAAATAGTTAAAAAAGTCAAAAAGTCAACTCACTTCTCAAACGGAGGCTATGGGGGTGTTTGGTGGGGCTTTTTTGAGCCAACTTATAACTTCTGTCTTTTAAAAAGTTATTTTTAATTATTTGGTTAAACTTATTTTAAACAACTTGTGATTCTAACAATTTATTTTAAGTCAAAAAAGTTGATTTTAAAAAGCTGCTCACCCATTACTTCTGATTATCAGCTTTTGCTGTAGACATGTTAATTCAAGGTTATACTCTTAGATTTTTTTTTTATTTTTTATTTTTTTAAAAATAGAAAAAGATACAAATGGACTATAAAATATTATTATTATTTTATGAAAAATGTAGACAAATAATAAAAAATAAAAGTTAATTGAAAAAGTTAGTTCACAGCTTATTTAACAAACACTACTTAGCAACTTAAATCTATAAACCAATAGTTATGCCAAATAAATTAACAACTTATGATTAAAGTCATAATTTACAATCTGTTAAATTATAATCTATAAATTTGTTTTAACAGCTACACCAAACAGGACCTATAATTATAAGCCTCCGTTTGGGAAGTGGGTTGGCTTTTTGGCTTTTTGGCTATTTTAGCCTAGGCTATGAAAATTTTATCATTTTTCTAAACAGTATACGTACACAAAATTAACAAAAAAATTTAGGTTGAATGACCAAATTGAAAGTAGGGAAAATGCCTCCGACCCCCAGTGGGGGTACTGGGGGTCAAAAAAGTTATGCCAAATAAATTAACAACTTATGATTAAAGTCATAATTTACAATCTGTTAAATTATAATCTATAAATCTGTTTTAACAGCTACACCAAACAGGACCTATAATTATAACTTAATCTATTATAGATTATGATTTTAATCAAAAGTTCTTAATTTTTTTGATGTAACTATTGATTATAGATTTATGTTGTTGAGTAGTGTTTGTTAAATAAGCTGTGAAGTAGAATAATGTATAGTCTATTTTGGGTCTTTTTCTATTTTTAAAAAAATTAAAAAAAATATTTAAGAGTATAATAATAAATTAATATGTTTACAGCAGAAGTTAATAATCAGAAGGAAGGGGTGAGTAGTTTCTCAGAATCAATTTTTTTGAGTTAAAATAAGTTATTAAAATCTAAAACTATTTGAAATAAGTTTAACCAAACAATTCAGAATAACTTTTTCAAAATTAAAAATTATAAATTAACTCAAAAAAACCTAAACAAACACCCCCATAGTGTTGGCTCGGTTGGGTCGCCGCGCGGACCTGTTGGGCTGCTTCAACCGCCCTTGTTTCTTGTATTGGCGGGCCCTAAACCCTAGCAAAAATTGGGTGGGCCACGCGGAACTCTTACGCTTTGTTTGGTTGGAGGATTTGGGAAGGGAAATGGAAAGGGAAATGGAAATGAAAGGAAAAGGAGAAAGAATTAATAGAATTCCAAATCCCAACTATGTTTGGTTGTGTTGGTTATAAAATAGAATTGATGTCCTAAAAGGTATTCTATTTCTTTATTTATTTCTCACCCCCTTTCTTTTCCCATATATTTTTTATTATAATCAAACATAAATAGGATTACATTTCTCATTCTTTTTCCAAATCCCACCTCAAAAACTCCAACCAAACACAGCATTAGGGTTGTTTGGAATCTTTTTATTTTTTTTAAATTTTCTTTGGATACCAACACTTCTTATTTAGGTTATATTATTTCTCAATTTCATTCATATTTTTTTCATAAAAAGCTAAAATTACAACTTTCATTTTTATACTTACCATTCTAAACACAGTAGTTGATTGGATAAAAAAATTGTTAAAAAAAAATTGGTTAAAATTAATTGATTGGGATACTTGACAATTTTTTAAAATTTTAATAATTTGATTCTTTTATTTAAATTGGAAGTTAAAATTAATAATTTTGAAAATTTTATCATTTTTCTAAACAGTATACGTACACAAAATTAACAAAAAAATTTAGGTTGAATGACCAAATTGAAAGTAGGGAAAATGCCTCCGACCCCCAGTGGGGGTACTGGGGGTCGCGTGTGATTGGTGGAAAAAAAAAATTGTTATTTTTTTTATTTTTTTTTTTTCGGCCAATGTGGAGGCGACACCTCACTGGGGGTTGTCAGTGGGGGTCGCGCCACTGGGTGTAGGAATCACAGCCCTTGAAACTAGACTTGAAAGGTAGGGACTAAATTAATCAAATTAAAACTATAATGATTAAAGTAAAATTTGGATCAAACAACAATAGCGAAAAGTATAAGTAACTCATAAATTTAATTTTTTTAAAAAATATACCACTGGTATTACTACTACCACTCCACTGTCACCACCACTTCCACCGACTCCTACCACCCCTTCTCACTTGTTCCCTGTTTTTCTAAGAGTGAAACAATTGAAATATCTTATGCTTCCATGCCCATGGTCTGAGGCAATGAATGTTTTAACTTATCAGAACGAGACTCGTGATAAATTTTATAGAGTTAACTGTACTTTTCAAAATCACATTTTGATTTTATATATATGTAGCCCGTGAATTGTGTTATACTTTAAAAGAAAGCATAAGAACTAGAAGTCATTGGATCTCCTTATTTATCAACCATTTGTATGTCTATAAAATTATGACAATAAAAACATTATACATTGCAAGGAAAGACAGAAAGAAAATATTCTATATATTATACATTGCAATTGTATTAGAAGTACAATTTGAAAAACAAAGTTATGAAGCTGCGATACTACCAAGCTTCTTATTGATATGTAACAAACAATCTTCATTACAGTATGCAAATAATATTGGCACCAGTTTTGATGGCTCAACCGCTGCCACCATTTTCAAGTGCAAAAACTCACAAAACAACAAATTGGCGGGGCTGTAAAATGCACAAAAAAAAAAAAAAAATGGCGGGCTGCTCTAGTAAATAATAAGCACGCCGCTGCACTAGAAGCTAAAACCCAAAACCCTAAAAGCCAAGTCTGTTTTTGGTTTCGTTTTCAGAATCCGTTTTTCTAAAAGTACTAAAAACTAATTTGATTGTTTTTGAATTTTACCAAACTAGCTTTTCAATGTTTTTCAAAAAAATAGTTATGAAAACAAAACATTTTTTAAATATTTTTCTGGCTTTTAGAACTGGACTGAGCTAGAGAAGGTCTGGCCAAATGCCCAATTTGAAGGGGCCATGTCCTGAAAAATTCTTGATTCTCCATCAGTAGTGGTGACCATAAATGAGAGAGATTGGCCATTAAGATAGGAATTGGACTGCCAATTGGCTCCCCAATTCCTTGACATTGGCATCCAACTAGTCCCAGAGCCTTTGATGGACACAGATTGAATAGATCCAGCCCCTGCAACATTGCTTATCAAGACAAGCTCAAAGTAGTTAATTCCATTAATGGTGAATCTAACTCCACCACGTTTCTTGCATGGAACCCTGCACCCAAAACAAAATGCAAAAAATTAGTATGAGAACACATAACGTTAAATAGCATATGAATAATGGTTACATAAATACCAAAAAATTATGAAATTTGTATTCATGATGAGACGGTAGTTTTGGGTCTTATCATTTTGAAAACAAACGATTGTTAATGTGACTTAAATACTCAAGAACAAATATGATACATAAATATAAAAATTATAGAAAACCTATACAAAATGGTGCCAAGATTTGTATTCATTCATTTCTAATCAAAATATCTATCAGAGTGACTAATTATTTCAAAATTAGCATTTTGGTCATGTTGGGCCAATTGTGGGCCCATTTTGCACCTATTGAACTATTTAACTTGTAAAACTTATTTTTTTAAGATGATCAGTTTGATTTTTTATATGAGTGATCTACTCAATAGGTTCCATAAATTGATCGATTTTTATCACCAAAATGGACACGGGAGTCAGCCAGAGTCTGCCTAACAAAACTGTCTCCAATCCATAGCCTCCTAATTTTTGTGTTGGCAAATCATTTTCTTTTTGCAAATCATTTTCCATAGCATATATAGCAGAAAGAAAAATGAGAGTAGACATGGGTGAAAATTCAGACCTCTTGAATATCACTGGCACAATCCCGCCACTGAAAATTCCAATCTTTTCCCAAGCAGGCTGAGCCATGTCAAAGTGCTGGAGAGGTGGGTTGCACCAGCCTCCATCATTGCTTGGTTCATCATAGTTAGGTGGGCAAAAGTTTGTAGCGGTGACGGTGACAGACACTCCTTTCTTGCACCATTGCGGGTCTGATTTGTAGTCACATATGATCTTGTAGCATTGTCCACATGACGCTCCATCGTTGAACAATGCAGTGCTTAAAGCTGCAGTCCTTGTCCCATAACCAGTTGAGTACAAGTTGCCATACCCACAAGCTCCCCCTGTGGCCAACCAAGTCATTCATCTAGTATCAAAGTTTTGAAGATTTGGCTCTTCTTATTTCTTAATATGATTCTTTCCTTTTCAAAATAATTGAAATCAAGTGCATAAGGTTTCTGCCAATGCAAGGTTTGGGGAAGGCTTAGATGTATGTAGCTTTACGTTGCTCTGTATATAGAGACTATTTTCATGAATTGAACTGGGACATAATTAGAATTTTGTATAGTGGGGGTGACGAAATCTTATGGAGAATCAAGTGTTTACTATTTAACGATAGATCGAAAGAGATAAAATGGAACACAATTACACTAGATCAAAGCTTCCCTCTAGTTTATTAATAAGACAGGATGATTTAGTTGAGGGATTGTGTGCCCACTCTAGGCCCACCTCGATATTTTAAACATTTATTATTTAGAATTTATTGAGTTGATCATAAATATAAAAATTAGATTTATCAGACATGAATAATCACATCATCGAATCACATGGCGTCTATTTTTTTTAAATATATGTAATCCGATCACGTAGAAATTAGAAAGGTAACAAGTACGTACCCATTGTTCCAGAGGCATCACTGCCTCCATAGAAAGTAGCATGAGCATTTGTCCACTCGGTCAATGCCACGAACGCATTGGCAGCATCGACGAAGAGACAGCAAATACCGAATATGACTATCTGTGCTGCAACAATGCTCTTCTTCGCCATTTTCTTAATGATGACGGAGAAGATGGGGAGAGAATGAGGATTGAAAATGGGGACTGTTTTTGCATTCAATGGATTGTCCAAACGCAACAAGAGCCTCTTAAATAGGAGTTATTCAATTCAGTCCCATCCCATCTAAATGCAACGACCTCATTATGATATTTGCATGTAGAGAGAGAACTCAAAATCAATTTTTTTTATAAGAAAAATTGGTTTATAAAATTTAAAATAATATCTCTGCTAAGTCCAAAAAATTCTGAACCAAATTCAATAATGCCCACGTTCTCACCCTATTCCCTCCCACATGGGTTTTCCGAGGGAAGAGCCGTAAATGGATCTAAAACCACCCCCATGTTGGTTGTCCATTTTTCGCATTGTTTTTACACTGTGTTTGGAGTATGAATTTTGATAATATTTAAAAAAATATATATATATAAGTTAGAATTTTTTTTTCAATTTCTCTCGTTTTTACTTTTTTTTTCTTTTAAATTTATACATAAATTCATGGTTAGACCACAATATTAATGCAATGGTTGTTGGTATTTGAAGCAAAAAAAAAAAAAATGAAACAAATATTCAATGGCTCAACTTTTAATTGAGAGAATATTGCTGCTGCAAATAATCTGATGAGATACAGCTTCACATGGCTATCCTTTGACCTTAATACGGTACCACCATCTTATATTTTTTTTATGAGTTCCAGTTCCTCACATGCTTGAGACATAAGCTCTGTTAGTTGTTGGTCTGACTCTGTGAAAAACCATTCTTGTGTTTAGTCAATGAAGCAAAAAAATGGAGCATATTCAATGGCTCTTACTTTCCAATGCATTTATAAAAAAATTTTAAAAATTCGGTTGCTTTATTTATCATTTACTGGTATGCCATTTTATCATTTTATTACATAAGGCCTACCATTTTTTCCGCTATATATTTTTGAATGGAATTCGTAAAATATAATCAGTTATTAATATATAATTAAACTTGCCGTGTGATGATGGGTACCACCGTCAAGAAAAGCATTGAGAAAACTTGATTGCTACTTTAATTAATTGGTATCCACTGAAACAAAAATGAGCAGGCAATTATTGGAATTTGTGTTTTTTAATGATCAAAAGATTAATAGTTAATCCAAAATGTCATGTTGACAAGGGATAAGAATATTTCAAGACTTATGCTATATATCTGTTTGGTAGACTTTTTTAAATTAAATTTTATGTGTGGTGTTTGATTAGAGTTTTTAAAAATTGATTTCACACCCATTTTTAAAAACATGTTCACCTGGTCGGTTATCCTTTCGGACATCTTTCCGGACATCCGGCCAGTTGACCGGAACAGTGTTAGTTTTATTTTTTTATTTATTTTTATTTATATCACCTATTATTTTTATATTTTAAATAAAAAATATTTTTAGAATTTTTTTATAAGCTTTGAAAAGAATTTTGGATTGTGTGTTTAGTTATGAGTTGTAAGTTTTTGAATCAAATATCATATGTCACATCAAAAATTTCAAAACTCATAATCAAATAAATTTTTCACACTCAAATCATAATTCTAAAACTCTACCCAACACTACCTATATTTTACACTGTCTTACATTACTTGTTGGTGTTGAAGGTTAACGTTCAATTTGAAATGATCTGTTTTAATTCAAAATTTTTAATTTGTTTAAAGAAAATTGTATTGATTGCAATTGAGATATATCTAATGTGTATAATTTTATATTATTTTTTGTAATTTAGGCCTTGTTTGTTATGACCTAAAAAAGTCAAAAAGTCACTATGCTATAGTCACATCATCTTATTTACATGAAAAGTCAAAAAATATACTTATTTAGATAATTTCAAATCATTTCTTAATTCTGTATGTTCAAAATAATTTAACTAATAAAATAAAAAGTTGTTCCATCAAGCTGAATACTCTTTAAAGAATCTAACTTGATTGTATAATTTTTTCATGAACACAACTTTTTATCATCATTGATTGATCAACAACAAAGAGCAAACATAGATTTAAGAACTTCAAATTACACCAGTAACGATGACCCTGCTCGCCGCAATCGATGCCAACTGTTAATCCGGGCAGCCATTTTCTTTTTATTTTATTATTATTATTTTATCTTTCCAGTGATTTATATATCGTTGACTGGTTGCAATCATTCTATAAAATTTTAAAAATACAATAAAAAATACTTAATTAATATAAACTGAAATAAAAATGAGGAGGCAATCATTGGGATTTTGTGGTTGTGAGGACCGCTTTAAATGATCAAAGAGTAAGTTAATCCAGAAAGTCATGTTGACGAGGGATAAGAAATAAATAATAGTTGAATGGTCTATCACATTAACAATTTAAGCTTAGATAACATCCAATGGGCTTTTCTTTACAAGATTGCACCAGGTCAATAATCCTGGATCATTCCCTTGAGAATTATTAAGCGTAGAAGTTAATAAAAGACTTTAACCCAATAAGTCTGGAAATACAAATATTAAACATAGAATGTGACACATATATTCAGTGACGTTGTTAAGAATTTAATAAAGAGATGGCATAAATTAATGACAACATTAAAAAATTTTTTTCATAATAAATAACAATGAGATATTACTAAACTTAAATATTAAGAGTTCATTTGGATAAATGTGAATTTTAAATTAAATAATTTGAGATTAAATTTCATACGAATATTGAAGAGTAACTATTTTATAGGTGGATTGAAAAATTAAAAAAGAAGATAAGTTGAGATAGAAGATATATTTTAGTAGAGAAATTCTATAAAATATACCGCAAAAAAAGTGTCTATCATGTGTTGCAATTATGATTTTCGTGGTCTTTAGTTATAACACATTATAGTGTTAGATATAATTTAGTTATAACTTATTGTGGTTGTTATTTTGGTTATGACTATATATCAAGTAATAATTAGTTATGACTCATTCTGATATTAGTTATGATCTATTGTATTTTTTTTATAATTAAAGATGTGTTGCTTGATTATAATTTATATATTGATCATTTTAGTTATGAATGGAAAGAAACACATAGAGGATAAAGTCCACATAGAGGATAAATTTCACATTTCAAATGTAACTAACAATTCAATAAATTCTATGTATTTATTGAAATTAATTATATTTGTATGTCAATAATGATAGATATCACCATTATATTGAAATTTTCATAGATAATAATAGGGGGATTTTTTTTAAGGTCCCTGATATTAAGAATTTATAGCATAAAGGACACTCAATATTTTCATAATGTCTAAGGTCCTTCAACATCAATCCAGAGAAAATTCGATCCAGAGAAAATTCGGTCCAGAGAATTTCTCTGGAAAATCCAGAGAAATTCTCTCCAGACATCCAGAGAAATTCTCTTTATCCAGAGAAAATTCAGATAGTCCAGAAAAAATTTAGACATCCAGAGAAAATTCAGATAGTTCAGAGAAAATTCACAAAATCCAAGAAACTCTGCATCATCATGCATTTTATATGTTCTTTTACAAATATCTTTTCATGAAGAGTTGCTATCAAAATTCTGTTTGCTAATCCTAGTGCTCTTTGTAGATCAAGTCCAACAAGATGAGGTGGTTGACAGTAAGATCTTGCAATACCCTAGCATAGACAAGAAAGAAAAGAAGTCATTCTCTAGACTTCCAGAGAAAATTCAACTTCAAAGAGAAAATTAGTCCAGAGAAATTTTGGGAAGAATTTCTCTGGACTTTCCAATTTCTCTAACATTCCCTAGATTCCCACTGTAAATTTCTCTGGCCTTCCATTCTCTCCAGAGAAATTTCCATTCTCTCCAGAGAAATTGTAATGTGCTTCATCTTGTTTGAATATGCTATATTGTTGATATTGATTATGAAATTCTACAATTGTTTGGGAAATTCCTATCATTTTCTTTGAATGAATTCAATAAATTTTTGTTGTACTTATCTACAAATTTTCCAGGGTATATCTATCCTTACCTAATTCCAAATTTCTCTGGACTTCTTTTCAAATTTATCTGGACTTCCCACTGTCCAGAGAAATTCTCGCCAAATTTCTCTAGATTTCCCACTGTAATTTCTTTGGACAAAGTAAGTTCAAGTCTCATCTTACCCTAAACTCTCTCTCACTCTCTAATATTTTTTCTTTGGATATATGGTTATAGAAGAAGCTTCTGATTCTCCAAATTTCTCATAGCCATTATTGGTCATTCAAAATCAAATAATTTCTCTAGTTACCTACCAGGAAATATTTCTTGGTTATCTAAACTTCTTTATTATTGGTCATTCAAAATCAAACCAAACCAGAGAAATTTGGGCTACCTAGAAACAAAAAAAAATCATAATTTTCTCTGTGTTTTGAACAAATTAGAGAAAATTGTAATTGTTTTTCTCTATGATTATTTTTCTAAGAAACATTTTATCAAACAAGTTAGCTTCAAAGCTCATAGCTATATGTTTTACAGTTCTAAAAAGAGTTTTGTCAAACCAAATCTCAATCGAAAGAGTCCATAGTTTGTTTCTCTGCAAATCAGCTCCATGGCATCAAGAGAGGAGGATACACGAACATGATTACAGAGAGCTGTACACGGGCTCTCTCTCTCGGCTTAGAGAGAGAAAGGAGAGAGTACACAGCAAGGAGAGACCCACACACCTAGACCATGCATGAGGGACGGGATGGAGAGGGCAACACAAAGAACGACCAGCTTCTCTCTCTATAATGGAGACATGCATACGGCAGACCAGCTTGTTGCTCGGACTCAGGACAACGTGGATGGAGAGGGGATGGGGTGAAGGACCTTAGACTACAAAAGAACAGATTGTGGACTTAATCCATTACTAAAAGTTTGATAGGGACCTTAGACCGATTTTCCCATAATAATATGACTTATCATAATCTCTTTATTTTCAATCAAAATAACCATTATTGTTATCATAATTTAAAAAATATCATTGACATTTCACTTTAAATACTATTTTTATAAATTTTTTTTATTTAAAATATTTTCTTTATGTTAAAAAAAAAAAAAATCTCAAAACCAGGAGATGCACGTGACCCCCTGGCCCCTACATAGCTACGCCCTTGCATATATTTTATAGAAAAATGATTTTTTCCCCGAAAAATCAT